ACCTGATCTGGAAACCACTGCGCGATTTATCTCAGATATAGAATTACTGAACTGAACTCTCCGACATGTAAAATGAGAACAGAGAAGAAGAAGAAGAACAGATGTATGTGTACTCAAATAGTGTGAACAGCAGCACATTTTTTAAGTGTAGAAATACAGCTTCTGGCACCTATAGGACTCCCGTGGTAGTACTGACTCTACCTTCTCTTTGCTTGGAGTCATGTCCCCTGAAGCTGAATCAGCTTCAGCGATAAATGATGAGCTGATGGTATTGAAAACTGGTTCTTGACGTCTTAAAATTTGCTTTTATAAATTGCACAATAAAGGAATCTTAAAAAGTGTTGTACTTTAAATTATTTCTTTAAAAATAGTTTCACCTTTCAGCAAAGGAAAATGACAAAAACTATTTTCTTTTGCTTGCATGTAGAAATGGGAAAGCCTTGTTTGAAAAGATTTAACATGCATTTATATTTCATATGTTAGCAACCAATTGCAATGGCTACTATAAAGAAACATGAAATCTGTCTTCCACTCTTTATTAGAAATGTTGGTAACAAAGTCACAGTCAATGTCCTTCAAGTAACATAACAATTTCTTCCTTAAGATTTTATGTTTTATTTGCCTTGCCCATGCTAAGCTAGCGGATACATTGAATTATTTTGTTCATAAACCGGAACTACCCATGGTTAACACACCTAGCTCTAATATATTTGATTAATGGTTTATTTGGGCTATTGAAATGACGAAGTTGTATGCAGATTTGTGCAAACTTTCCTGTTTAGAGTTTATGGTTGGGATATTTTGTATTTAAAAAAATATATTTTTCTCAGTTAAAGATCGAGCTCCATCAGTAGTTATAATTTATAAAGGTATTATTTTTAATATTTGCATTTTTATATGTATATACTGTGGGCACATCTGATTTCTATAGGTGTCGGCGGACCGCATAAAACACTTCGGCTGGCCGCATGTGGCCCGCGGGTCGTAATTTGCCCACCCCTGGTCTATGAAAATCAAACCATTTAAAGTTTTTCTGTCGTCTGTCACAGATGTGAAACCCTCTAAGATAAAGTGAGCGTTATTCAGATATATTTGGAACAAATAGTTGGGGGGGGGGGGCTATACATTCTAAAAAACCATACGTTATGATGAGGCTGTTAAAATCGTTAAAGCTTGAACATTAAGTTGATACGAAATATTAGAAGACCTACAAAAGTAATTCTTTTAATAGAATGGTTCCAAAGTAACATAAAGTATATCTAAAATAAAATTGAACACAATAATGCATGTGTCACTCTCAGAATAAATTATATGTATAATAAAATTTGATATAAAATTTAATAATTCAACTAGTTAATGATATCAGTAGCTAGCCTCTTAGGATTAAAATATCATTTATGTCTTTGTAAATAACATTTGTTTACATTCTCTTTACATTTTTGCATATTGTTGTAACCCTGTTCCTCCCTGACTACCATGACTAACCATTTTTATCCACGTGCAAAGTGTTTATGATGTTGGGCGTAAATGACCTTGACTAGAGTGTAAATGTGTTAAGAAACTTTAGATGATCTTTTTTTATTTCTTGACTGAGGATTGAGGATTGTTTTAGTGTTAGTGAGTCGGGATATGTAAATTTGATTTGGAGATTGTGACATTTCTTTTTATCGGGGATATTGATTGATCATAGTTGGATTGTGCTTCTGCAATCGAAGAGATACCAGCGATCTGAGAATCGGTGAGTTGTTTTCTTTAATTCAACCCCCACGTCTTAACAATATGAACATCAAAATAACTATCACAATTTATTTCGATTTTTTTCTTTTAATATATTAAATATTTAGTAATAAATGCATGTCCTAAATTATATTTCAATAGTATTAGTGATTAAAAAATTGGTTTCTTTTGTACATCTTATAATTCAACAGCAAAATAAAGTTATTCTTTGGAAGCTTGTGACCAACACCACATCCTCAGTGAAAAATGAAAGTTGTCTTCTAAAGCTGTAGTGTGCAAAAAAAAAAAGGATCTCATGATTTTTCTAGAGTGACTAGAGTACACATGCATAAATATATTTTTAAAAAATTAGATGCAAGCTTAATTAGAGTCAAGAAGCCTTTAAGTTAAGGCTAGCTCTTTGTTCTGACTAAAATAGAACGTTACTTAATTGTTGGATTGATGTCCTTTACAACATCAGGGAAATGACTCTGTTAAGAATATATTATTTATTCAACGTTGTAACTAGAGATAAGAGTTTGATTATATGTTTGGCACAAGTTTACGATTTAGAAAAGCAATATTGATGATTGCTTCCTAACCCAAACCTCCAGAAGAACGACGAGGGATGGCAGCGGGCAGGGTTTCAACCCAGGACCATCTAATTAACAAGCAGAGCGCATACCACTCAAACAGGCTGTCTTTTGTATATTTGTGTATTACAAATGGTATGAATCAGTGTAATAGGAAACTACTTCACTAAAATAATTTTAATAGAAACCCAATGACTAAATTGGAATAAGCCAGAAACTAAAAAGATCGTAGGGCTCATGTACTTTATTATTAAATGCTAAACCCTGCTTTTTAAAGATTAAATTAACATATTCAATCTTTATTTTTAAGCTTAAATAAAACTGAGTTGTAGAACGACTAAATATATTTTTTAACTATCTAAACCAGTGAGGAGAAAACTATGGCCCTAGGACCAACTTCACCCCAATTAAAGGTTCAATCCTACCGATATATAATTTAATAATTTAAATAACAATGTAAAAATGTTACGGTAGGATTTGATGTAACATCAATTAACTACATCTTAAGAAACAATATATATAAAAAAAGAAACAAAGCAAAGCTAATTTCAGAGCAGGAACTCAGCAGTTACAACTCAATCTCTCAATAATGTAGAAGTTATTTCCCAAATTCATAAATAAGTAGTTATGAATATTTGATTGACAAATTGGTTAGTTTTTAAATTGATTCATGTTTGTATGTACAATAACTAATTGTTTCAAGTTTCCACTTCCTCGGAGAATGGGGTGTGGTAGCAATAACGAGTACATCATCTAAGGGTGGCCAAACCCTACATATTTAGTCATACCTTTGAACACCGACATACTGAAAGATTAATTCCCTCGTTGGTATGAAACAAAATAATTAATTACCAGAAATAAATCGATTAATTTGTTAATTTTTTAAAATTCTTGTCTTGTCTATACCAATGAATAATTGTGCCAATTTTCAACTTGATCCGAGAATGGATGTTCGAGAAACGACGTGTTTTTCCAGACAGACGGCCAGACAGAGTGAGTTTATAGAAGTTATGTAAAAAATTTATCATTTCATCAAGTTTTTTTCAGGAAGACATGCCCAGGCAATACGTAGATAACTTAACGAAAAATTGTAACCAGAAGATTTTAAAAAGTTAAAGCAATTGTAAAGGCATATCAGCTTGACCTTTTTATATCGACTTTGAAATTGTCAATCCAAAACTAAAGTTTGAATTAATTGAGCTCCAATCTTATAATCATCGCAAACAATGTTTTTAGAATGTTGCATTGATATAGCTTTACAAGGTCTTGTCAAAATCATACTATCCCAATTTAATATTTCATGTGAATATTTTGAATCTTCATATATTTGAGAGCATCTTTTTTTAAACAAAATAATTAGACAAATGTGCGTCATAAATAGATTGAGAAATGCACACCACAGTTCATTCGTAAGTATAACTGCGTCCCAAAAAGGTACCAAATTACGACAATCCTTATCAAACCACTATCATCAACTAAAAAAAACTAAATATTTCTTCCTTGATTTTATCCTTTTTAAAAAAGTTTGCCCACCACTGATTTAGATGGTTTCAAAACCTTTTTTAATAAGAACAAACTCATAAAATGCTCTTTGAAGGTTGAACTTAAAGCTGCAAATATGAACAAGTGACTGCATGCGTTGATTAAGTCAATTATAAATATAAACACAGCTGCTGTTGTAAATTCATCGTTGTACTTACGAAGCATGTAAAACTCGGGCTCAGCAAGTTGCGCGATGTAAAATACAAATCTAGGGAACAGATTCATGATATACACTAGAACAACAACTAATAAAGCTTTCGAGACTTGTTCCTCTCGACTTAGTGCGTTGGTTTTCAGAGACGTTTGTTTGTATAAAATAGTGCGAGTTTTTCTTCAGGTAATAAACCGTGGCCAGAGAGAAAATAGACATTAGGATAAAACTAATGGCTGGAATAAGAATGGCTTGGACTTGATAATACACCATGAAAACCGCCAATTTCTGATAATGAAATTCACTGAAGACGTAGATGGCCACAGTTGTGTTAAAAGTCTGGCTATATTCAAACTTGATGGTGTACGCAAAATAAACCACAACGTAGGCGCCGAATGTGCCAATGGAAATGATGACCACGGAAAGAAAGATCGTTGTGGGCGTTAACAAAGACTTTGATATGAAAGGTTTCCAGACACACAAGAATCTTTCCACTGATAGAAAAGCTGCCAAGGAGAAAGTCACGTAGCCGGCATATATTGTGGTGTATTCAATGTAAGCGAATTGTCCCACGTGACACCAAACGCTTGATCGACGAAGCTGATGATAAAGTACATCTTGGCCATCAGTCCACAAACGCATTTCAACCAATTCCATAATGCAATGGATGTCATTGTGATAGTCGTTCCTTCTTGAAAACCTAGCTTATAAAAGACCAAAGGAGTTCGGGTGTTAGTGATCAGACCAATACAAGCAAGGGGAAATAAGATTCAAAATCGGACGTCGAAGATTATTTCTCCTAAGATTTCGCTTCTAACAAAATAACCCATGTTCAACGAGGTTGTTAGTAACAACTTCTTGTGAAGATTTTGTATATATGAACATATGAAAATGTAGATTTTTGTTTAAAGTTTGCTTATAGTACAGTCAAGATACAATATTCCGATCAAACTTAAAGCTTTCGGAGAAAAATATTGATTTTTTAAAAAAATTACAACTTGTTGCGACATAACTACCAGCAGTATATCAGAACTTCAGGGGAGAGCAGTCAATTTTCTATCATTAATTGTAGCGCAGTAAAGTTTAATAATCATTCTTTTTCTATAATATTTTTAAAACAAAATATTTCAGAACTGCTTCAAAATTTAAACAGAGCAACATTAATTTATGAGTTTAGCGAGTCGCGCACATTAAAACAAGTCCATACCCAGTCTTGTACTAAAGTCATTTTTTATTTTAAAATACGTTAATAAGATACAATTAGTCTTCCCCTATCACCAGATAATGATGTACAAATAGAGTCATGTATAATTATTCCCAATTTAAATGTCAACATAATTTGTACAATAGGAGTCCCAAAAGCAAACAGTCGATATATTGAAATGTATCTAGTTCTAAATAGTAGTTAAATTTATGAGCAAACATAATGACATGACTTCGTTATTTTTTTTTTGTTTTATAAAATACATGTATTTTGTATGAGTAATGACTTTTTGTCTCTATCATAAAAGTGTTCAAATACTACAGGGCAGACATAAATGTAACGGGATTTTTCATTACTAATGATCTCAAATCAATCAATAAATTGTGACGTCAAACAATGGCGCCTCTGATAGAATTATAATTTATGCACATCTCACTTTCTTATACTGTAACAAGATCTTCTACAAAATGATACAGGAGAAACAAGTTTTATTTTTTTTCTTATTAAGTTTCGGAATTTCGGAAGGCTCAAGATGCTAGTCCACAAGAATTGAACCAGGTATCAAATTGACATTGTAGCCCTACAGCCCGGAGCACATGTCATACAACCTGGCAGCCGATGCTGCTGCATGTCTTGAAGGTTGTATATATTGTCTCTCAAACTGTTTCTCAACATAAAACAATAATTTCTATAGTGTTGGTAAATATCACAGTTAATTTGTACACAATATATTCTATAAATATTTTGTTTTTTTATAATAAAGAATCAAATTAAAAATAAGCATAATTTGTTTATAAAAACATAAACAATATACATTTGGACATTAATTTAAAATGTAAAAACGTATAAATATATAAACAAAAAGTAATTAACCATTCATAACCATTCATAAAGACACATGTGTTATTTTCTTTTTTTTTTTTTTTTCGCTTGGCAGCGAGTCTGCGTAAAGGATTCAGAGATCAGCCACTTAGCGAGGAGAACTTGTTAGTCAATGAGGTGACCACTTGAATTCATATCAGTAAATAGGAATCTTGCTGATCAGAGTGACAATTTAATTCTTCAACATCTGAGATTCTTTTTGCCGTTAATGTCTCAGAGCTGCCTTTATCTCTCAGCTCTTTAGATCGACAGTTAGTTGACCTCCTTTGTTGTTTACAGAATAGCTGAAGATGAAAAGAAACAAAGAATTGTGTAGACTAGGATTAAACCACTTTAGTTACTTCTAGCAACAGAAACATCTCTGTAAATAATTAACTTTTTAATAACCATTGGAGGCTAATTCATAAATATGAAGCTTTTTGCTGTATCCGGTGTACAAAATACTATACATTTTGAAAACTACGGATTAATTTTTGTGTTGTTTTTAGCACTGTAGAATCAAATTAAACACCGAAGTATAAGAAATATTTTAAAAAGAAGACCACTGTAAATAAACTTGAGTATGAAAACCTCTAACTTTATGTATATTATATTTCTCAGTCGCAGCGACTATAAACACTTTAATGAATATATCAGGGTCGTAGCCAGGATTTTTTTCGGGGGGGGGGGTAGGGGGGATTTTTTCTTTCCCTCCCCGCCCCTCATGTGTGTGTGTTCATAATCTTTATTACATTCTGACCCTTCATTCTTTCCGCCATTGCCAGCAAGGGGGTCTAGCGCCGCCCCGCCGCCAAGCACTATTTCTGGCATAGAATGCCAACCAAATGCATATTCTGAGGTATCTACAGTGCATTTTCCAGCTATTAAAAAGTCTTATTTCAAAAATTTATGTGCTTATTTTTACTGACTAAGACCCTGTTCGGTGCATTTGCCGTCAAGCTGTTTCCACAAAAATCTGTCACTGGTAATTTCTGAAGCCTCTTCCCACCTGCTCCGTGGACCACCATGAATGTGTGGCGCCAAGTTGTACTAGGATGTCATCGCAACTCTTATTATGCATAATTTATTTTGTCGGAGAACATGTCCCGCAAAACCTCATGCGACCCTCTGTCACAATTTTACTAAGGGGTCGACTCCCAGTTCGGCATAGGATTTATTTGATTTAGACCCGATCTCAATAACTGACTCCTAAAATCCGCCTTAGCCATCTTTGTTGAGACACATTTAGTGTTTTTCAATTTCGGCAGATGACTATTCACTGCACTTTATTAATGGAGCCCCGCCACTGGTAGAAATGTGTAACCTCTCTTGGATACGCTCTTGGAATTAGGTGACTGTAGTTTGCTTTAGATTTTATATCAAAAAGTGAAGTTTTATCGTCAAAATCATCTGTTGGGGGTTTTAAACTAAAAATCTAAGGACTTTGTTGTTGTTTTTTTTAATTCAAAACCCCATTTAGCTACGATCATAGAATTTGGTAACTAGTTTGCTTTAGAGTAATATTGAAGATAGAGGTTTTCCACCTCAAAACGCTCTGTAGGGGGTTTTAAACTCAAAACCATCTGGAGAAAAGAAGTTTAAACTCAAAACCCCCAATTAACTTGGCTAAGCTCAAATAATTTTAGTGTGTAATTTGCTTTTTTTTTATAATGAAGAAGTATTTTTTAGCACCAAACCCTTCTGATATAAACTCAAAACCACTTTTGGCAACGCTCTTAGCATTTTGAGTGATTAATTTGCTTTTTTTTTTTTACATTGAAGATGTATTTTTTAGCTTCAAACCCCGCTGGCGGGGGGTTTAAACTCAAAACTCATTTGGCTACGCTCTTAGATTTTAGAGTGTGTAATTTGCTTTTTTTTATTGAAGATGTATTTTTTAGCTTCAAACTCCACTGGTGGGGAGTTTAAACTTAAAACTGAGTCAAAACCCATTTAGCTACGCTCATAACATTTTGAGTGCATAATTTGCTTTTTTTTTCATATTGAAATGGGGTCTATCGTAAATTTTGGAGTTGGTTCCTTAACTGTGCACTTGGAATTTGGGGATTATCGTTTGCATTTTTTGTGTGTTTTGTTTTATAGAAGAGGGGGATTTAACTGCAAAAACCCCTGGTATAGGGTTTCAAACTCAAAACCCCTGGTAGGGGTTTTAAACTCAAAACCCTCTAGTAGGGGTTTCAACTCAAAACCCCTTTAGCTGTGCTGGGGTTTAGTATTAAAATCTCACCTAAAATTAATAAAATCAAAACAAAAATCAGTCACTTAAGTTCGTCTTCCCCCCCCCCCCGCCCCCCCCCTCTCCCGTGGTAGGGGGTTTCAAACTCATAACCCTCTGGTAGGGGTTTTCAACTCAAAACCCCCTTGACTGCGCTGGAGCAAGTGATGGTTTAGCATTAAAATCTCACCTAAAATAAAGCAAAGCAAATAATCAGTCACTGAAGTCCGTTCCCCCCCCCGGGGGGGGGTTTATTTCGGGGGGAGGTTGAACCCCAAAACCCCGCCTGGCTACGCCCATGGAATACATATATCTTTCGAGTCAACAAATACGTGAAAACTCTTTGAACGGCATTATGAGCGAAAATGATGTCGCAATGGCGTCTCTCAGCGAACTCTCTCTTTCAACGTTAGGACTATGCCCCTGAAATACAACACTTCAGTTACTCCCAAGTTTCATGTAGCCACATTTGTTCCTAGGATTTTCATAAATATACACAATTTTGTGAAAGATCGATTTAGTCTGAGTCTTGAAAACCTATTTGAAAACTTGAAAACTTAAAAACCAAATGTGAAAACCGTATCTCTCTTTGTACTGACTTTAATCCCTTTTTCTCCAGGTATTTTTGGGTCTCCATCTTTAAAACAGGAAAATTGTTGACACTGTGCAGGCCTCGACCAGTGATGATATTTATAAGTCTGCTACTAGTTTTATTTTTATGATAACCTGTAAAGATAACAAGTATAAATATGGATAAATAGAAAAAAAACATTTTACAAGAAGATAATAGTTTTTGATTTCCTGGACACCTTATTAAATATTTTCCCCCATCCAAATGTTTCTAAGGTAGTCAATTTCTAGCATTCGTTTTTTTTTAAAGGTACACATTATAATAATAATTTTCTCAAGTACTGGATCTTAGAATTGATACTTCGCAATAAATATAAGTTAAGATTTGTTTATATCAGAAAGTTGAATTGTATTTGATGATTTGATTGCCAGCAAATGAAGCGAAAGAAATACAAAACAAATGTTTAGTTAGTAAAGTAACACACAAAACAAGCTGCACTTGAGCCGTGTAGACATTGAGTCCTAAACGTTGTGATAAAAGACTGGCAGAAGTAAGTACACAGTTTGTGGTATGAGCTACCAACAGCAGCAACCTCCGTATGAGTCAGGCCTTGGGTGGCTAGAGAATCATCTTTTAGATAGCGACAGACAATGTCTTCCACACACATACATATTAACAAACGAACGCAATCAGTCCAATCAAAGGCAATACATTTCCACTCACTGTTTTGATTGGACAGGATGAACTGATCCACCGCCTGTAGCGCCTCCTGTCTTGTTTTACCATGAAGGTCAAGTGTTGGCCTACGTTGGGCCGCTTGACCGCCATCTACGTCATCGTCCTCATCAAGAATTTCAAGTAGAGAATAGTCTCCAGTTTGGTGTTTCTTGACCCCATAAGGCTAGAACATAGAAACGTTGCTCATTTGAATCATACAATATTCAAGTATTTAAATACAAAATTCTAAACAATGTTTGCCTGACTACTATTTAATTACTAGTTTAATATATATTTAAAGTAATTGTTTTGTTAATGTATACACTGTCACTAATTACCTTGTCTTCTCTGCGACAGCACTTTTTCTATAAAATATGACAAAAAAATATTTAAAATTTAAATATAACAGAAATAATATATTAAATAAATTTTCATAAAATTATTATTAAAATAAGGACTGTTAGATTGTATTAAATTATTGTTTCGTTAAAAATACTAGCTTAATCTAGATACATGCGTTAATATTAGCAACTAACAATCAAATCTAGTTTTAGCCATAACTTGTTGAATTGAGAGCTTTCAAAGAATTGTTCAAGTGATTCTTGAATGGCTACCTGGTCGTGTGGTACGCGCTTTGAAATGTATCAATGGGGCACAGTTCGAACCCTGCCCGCTGTCAACTAGGTATATAGGTATAAGTATTCTCATTTCTGAAGCAAGGTCCATAAGTTCAAAAAAACCTTACGGAATGGGAAGATGCATTTGCGCACAAAGAAGCTCAGTATGAAAAGTCTTAACTGTAACTAGATGTGATTGGATATAATACATTAATACTAACATAACATCACACTCTCTGTGGGCTAGACATTAATACTAACATAACATCACACACTCTGTGGTCTAGACATTAATACTAACATAATATCACACACTATGTGAGCCAGTGTGGGCTAGACATTAATACTAATATAGCATCACACACTCTGTGAGCCAGTGTGGGCTAGACATTAATACTAACATAACAACACACATCCGGACTTTTTTAAAACTAACCCTAATTGAATTACAAATTTAAAAAAAAAAATCGCTGGGTATAAAAAAAAATCCTATTTTCCCCCTATAGGTTATCTAAAAAAAAAAAACAACTAAAATACTACACAGCTCTTGAAATTGCTCTATTATGTGTATAGATAAGGTAACATTGACATATACTATTCAATGAATAAGATTTTAATGTTTTGTCTTCAAATGTTCGACATTAATGAATTGGTATTTTCTTGCTCACAAAGTGTGATTTTATATAAACATTAACTATTTATACTCACGATTTTCTGTATCAGTAAGCCTAACAACGTCAATCCTACTACTGATAATAGTACAGAGAGCACAAGTACAATTAGCCAGCATTGTTCCATTTTGTTGAGACTTAGTTTCAATTAATTCGTTTCAGATTTGTATCTCTTTTGGACATCTCAAGCTTTGTTTCTGTTATATAAACAGAGGAAAATGTTCGAGTGAGATAGACTCTAAAAATAACATACAG